TTAGGGGTCACAAAGTAATGGTATGTTTTTTTCATTCATTCGACCTTCAGTATAATTAAGCACATCTGACGGCTGACCCGGTATTATGTTTATATCTGTGAACTGACCTCAGAACCATTTCTCAAAATTATTTAAATCTTGTGAGAGGACCTTGCCTACACCTTTCAACCTCTCAATGAATCCTCTTTATGTGCTTGAGCAAGAAACATAACCATGCCTCCCTTTTTTATCAAAATAAAGCACTGACTGAAAGTCAATATCTGTGAAAATGAAATACTCTACACCAAAGCCAGAGACTAAAGCATGAAGGCTCATAGATGTGATGCCATCAAATGTAAAATCTGGAGCTTTTTCATTTTTACTCTCTGACTGATGTTATTAGTTATGGAGCGGAAATTTCACAGAAAATCCCTCTGGATTTCTTCTGTGTTGCCTTTAATATCTCTTCTTATTCATCCCGTCTGGTGCAGTTTCAGATATTGAATGTTGATGATAGCAGAGATTCTAGTTTTCTAATACCTTGCTTTGGCATAATGTTGTTCATATTAAGAAAGTGGGCTGTTTGGCTACTTTATTTTTACATTAAAGGTGTTTAAAGCCCTTTTTGGTGTTTTTTTTGTCATTCAGACATAGGTATCTGTTATGTCAATGTTCCTCATGTAGCCTTCCTGTTTAGGCTGCGTTTTAACCGTGTGTGAAAAAGTGCAGGTTCATCGTTCATTTGAATGATTTCGCTCTGATACAGTTGTTCCACACAGGATGCATGAGCAGTGTGTGACAGCTGCTTTGTACGCCGCTGCTGCAGCTCGCCTGAGGTGTCCACAAAGAGAGCGTTTCTGCTGCGGTCTTTCTACATTGAGTTTGCCCTTGACAAATACAATACAATAAAAGCCTTGTTAACTTAATTAATGAATTCTGTCTACAGAAACTCAGTTAAAAATGAGTTAAAACATTTTTTTTTTCATGCCTGTGACATGTTCTACAGATATAGACACTGAAACTCTAGTGTGTATATTTTGCTGGTATGATTTCAATATGACTATGAACAGTCAGTTTTATTGTCTATTTTTGCTAGAAACTGCGGACGGCTCGTGGAAAAAACAGGCAAGACCTCGACCCTCTAAGTGAAGTGTGGCTGCTCCAATCTGTTAACATGGTGGGGCTGGAATTAAAAGCAAGGCACTCTGACACACACAGCAGACGCAGGCAGTGTGGACTGGGCCTTAGGGTTGCAACCTTCAAAGTGGAGAAACAAGTGATGCCATGCCTGGAGGGCACAAATCAAGTCTCTGAGTCCTTCCCCATTTTGTGTGTTAAACACTTCATTTCCTGCATTCTGGTGAATTTTTATGCACCAATTTGTGTTCACTGCTTAATGTTGCCTCAGGTCGGACAGTCCACCATGGATGACAACACATTTTTGTACTCATTCCCACTGCCACAAACTTAATACTTATTATTATTATTTAATACTTGTCTCTATGTCTCGTGGAACTCTTGGTTTTATCATTTCTAATGTCATTCAAAGCATGTTAAAAGGAAGAGAAGGATGTGCACGAAAATATGAGAAGAATTACGTCCCATATTGATTGAGAAGGGGATAGTGCATTTTACTTTTAACACGGGACGATCCTGTATTATACCAGACGGGTGGCAACCCTACATACTATTGAAGCTGAGAAGCCTCCAACTAAAGAACACAGGGTCATCCAGGAGAAAAATTTAACCTAACTTACCTAGCCGATCATGTATGCAAGGGCACATTCCTGGTAGAGTGCTTTCCATGGAGAACGTTGTATTTTCACTGTTTACAAGCAGATGAAATTTAATGTGACAAAAAATAAAATAAATACCAGTGTGATTTTTAGAGCTGTAAAATTCTTCCTGAGAGCATAATGATGACCTGCTGTGCAGTGACAAGCCTTCAGTTCATGGATCTATTATTCAAATTGGATTTCCTGGCTCGTATTTCATCATCTCACTGGCACCTGAAACTACATGCAGCAGCCCCATGCATTTTTTAAACATACGGCTGTTTTCAGTCCGAACCCCCCTGCTTATTAAGGCATGACAGGACCTTTACGGAGACACAGCGCTCACCTGATATTTGGCACCTGGTGCGTGAGAGGGAGCAAATGCAATGCTGGAAATAGCAGTGAGTTGAAAATTGATGATATTAAGGAAGAAGAGTGTTCTCTTTTTAATCTATGACGACTGTGAGCCAGAAGAACGCTCACCCCACATTCTCACCACTGACTCCTCTAATACATTTTCTCATCAGTTCTTAAAAGCTGCAAAGCATTTAGCTCCATATTCATAAATACCCACCCATAATGACAATTTAGAATATAAGGAGGGAGACAGCTGGTCTGATTATTATGCATGCATTTTATTTTTTTATTTTTGTTGCCCTACAACAGGAGGGAAAACAAGATCACATTATCCTCTTCAACTTACAATGGGCTCATTCAGTGTGTTTTGTGATTTATTGGTGGTTTTAGTTTTTAGGTGATAACTGTGAAATGTGTTTATCTGCTGTAGCTTTCATACTTGTGCCATTTTAGAAGTGTTAATAGTTCTGACAAATCTTGCATTGTCATTGTGACTTTTCAGTAAAAATGACTCAGGAACACGATGCTGATAAATTGCATCCCATTTGTGTAACGAGATGCATGTCTGTGTTAAGCGTCAAGGTTACTTCTTAGATTTCACTCCCACCGAGAGGCTTGGTTCAATTCAGCAAGCACAGTCTCTCGGCTCAGCAGAAATACCTTTTTAAAAGCATATAATACATAAGAGTCTTCAAAACTGCAGAATTCTGATTTCTCAAATTGTTCGCAGAGGTAAGCCGGTGGGGGAAAAACAATTTCCACACAACACAAACTGAAAACACTTTACTGTAACTACACCCTGCAAAGTTGATGACTTCTCAGAACTGAAGATTAGGGTGAAATCGCAGCTCAAACACTGCTGCTCTCCACCCCCTCTCTTTCTCGCTCTCCCTCCCCCTCTCTCCCTCCCCTCTGAAGTGTGAAGAGACGCTTTGCAGCCTCAGCTTAGCGAACTTTGATCAGCGCAGGGTTGCCAGCCTTCAGTCGGACAAGGTCAGAGGAACAAGATGATGGCCGATGTGTTGTCAAAAGTGGGGGGTTGCCACCTGTTTGAGAATATATTCTGCTCGCTCGCACGTCTACCTGGACCCCTTAATGCCAAGGGGCTTCAAACTGAGTGGAGTCAACAGTAGGCCTATTTATTGAAGTGTCCATTACAAGTGTCCCCAGGTATCCTCATCAAACTGCCTTAAACAATAAATAACCAACCTTGGACTGTATGCAAATCCGCAGTCTGCTGTGAGTTAGGCAGCTCCAAACAGTAGACAGGATCACTTATAAGCCTTCCTGTGCACTGGCCTGTGTCAGTGCTGCTGATAAACGGCTGTACAGTTTGTTTTTCTGCTCTGATAGCGAGAATGAAATCAACAGGCGAGCTGTGTCACCGCGCAGTCTTTCTCAGTCTTAAACCCAATCCTCTTTGCTTCCCTCCAGGGTGGAATTTGAATGACCTGATCAATTTCTAATCAGGAAAGACCCGGCGTCTTTTCTCTCGTCGTAATGGAGTTTCCTCACAAATCTTCTGCGTTGTGGGCTCACTCAGATATTGTTTAGAGCAAATGGCAGGTAGCATGTATTCTTTGGTTCATTTTTCAGAAATATTTCTCACCCTGTGTAGTGGTATAGTGCTTTATCTCCAACATGGATCTGCTGTTAGCTAAATATAGAAGTATTTGTGGAATCCTAAACACAGCCGCATATCAGAATGAAACCCGGGCCCTGTTTAAAAGCAGAGGTGGCCTTTTCATGTTGAAAATGAAAACCCCAGGAGGTCTGCCTGAAAAAAAACATTCCCCTGCTCTATTTTATTGTGGGAATTTTGTCACCAGCAGTTTTCTGACTAGCTGTATAGTATACTCTAGCTTGAACACAGTTTGTGGGTCCCACAGACCCTTTTTGTCAGATTTACTCCCACAGCCCTGTCAGATGAAGTCAAGTACATAGCACCCGTCATGTTCCAAATGTGCTGATTTGAACAGATTTCAAACTGGGTGTTATTTAACACCATTAAGTACATGAAAGTGGATATTGTTACAGTCGAACTGTCAGCTTTCAGGCTGGTTCAGCTGGTTTCATTTTATGGTTTCATCCATTACATTTAGCTAGATATTTCAACCATTTATTGATTATATTTAGCTATTTTAACAATTTATTGAATACTTTTAGTTATGTTTTGTTGTCACCCAATACTTTTGGCAGTCTATTTGAACAGTTTATCCATTACCTATTTGAATGTTTTATTCATACTCCTGGTACCTGCATAAGTACCTACCAAGTCAGAAGCATTGGTGTGAGTTATATAACCGACTGCTGTAAAAGTGTAAAAAAGAAAGAAAGAGCAAAATGACTGCAAACTGTTCCCTAATGGACAATCTGTGAATCTCTTGAACATTTGTGAATGTGACACATGGATCAATGACTCATTTTGGTATTATCCCAGTTTGTCAATGATTGTGCATTTAGACTTGTATCTCAGTTAACAAAATCCGCTTCCAGTTATTGACATGTTCTTAACAGTCAGATGGGAGGGCCAGAAAAATTATTTTCACAATCAATCGTGACATTTTTTGGTGTTCGATGGTCTTTTTAAGAGCTGAGCGATGTGACGCATCCTGTGTAATTTGGCAGAGCAAACAGAGCCGTAAACAAAACACTGTAAATGTAACAATGTGCATAGTCAGAAAATAGCAGTGTGATGTTACAGAGACTCAGTTTCATCTTGGAACTCTTAGTACTGTGAATTTAACAAGAATACACATTTGTGCAGATTTCACACTCCCTTGTGTACTTAAAAAGTTAAACCATATTAGAGGCCCATAGGCTGTTTTTTCCCCCATTTTCCCAGTATGTGTGTCACAAAAATGTTCTTTATTTGCCCTTTAGGTGGATCATTAAAGAATGAACGACACATCAGTCACTGACCTCACAGAGTCAACAATTGAGCGGTCAGTAAAACTGGCTGAATCTGACTAACCAGGAGGCATCAAGCTTACAGAACAGTGGACTTACCTTCCTATGGTTTAGATGAGTCTGCAAAGAAACCACATTGATGGACTGAAGGACATACATGGACCCAGTTCTGTGGTGTCTGAAAGATAAGAACAACAGGATATGCTCATTGGACAGAAGTGATATGTTTGAGCCTCCTGCACCATGCAGTCAACAGGGTTGCTCTTTTCTCACACGTTTGGGACTTTTTTAAATTTATCATGATGCTATTTTTGTCCGTTGCACTCCCAAAGTTCCCAGCCAACTGATTTTGACGGTGACGACATGTCTCTACCCAAGCAGAGGAAAATCCGGACTTTTGCTCTGCTGTTCTGCGTCATTACATTTACGACGTTCCTGTTCAGTTACACTTTCCGGGACCCCTCACTCTACTTCTTCAAGTACGCTTTTCGTCTGTCAGACAACTTTTTCTCCAAAGGGCTATGCGCCTGTCGACATTGCATGACGGAGCTGGAGGACGACCCCTGGTTTGCCGAGCACTTCAATCAGTCCATCCACCCTCTGATGACCAGGGAGAACAGCATCCTCTCCGATGAAACCTTTAAATGGTGGCAGGTAAGATTCAGAGGATGTGTTTAGGAGATTTGCAATGCTATACTCAAGAGGCTTGAAAAAGCTAAAACAAAGATGCACATTCAGCTTCTGAAAGCTGATGAGGTGCTGAAAAGAAAGATCATGAATAAAGAACAGAGATCACATTTTGCTGTAATGCTCCCAAGAAGTGTTTGTTTTTGCCACATTGATTGTTTCAAATCCAAGGGATCTTTACCAGGATCAAGTTGTGAAGCAAACTCCCACGCACAATTTGTTCACATTTAACAAGTGAGATGGTGGATATGGAAATTATTGTTTAGTCTCACCATTTTTCCCACACCTACGGATTAAGAAAGACATTTTCCATCATAATGAATGTATGTATATATATGTATATGTGACACCATAACCATTCACTCACTAAAAATCCTGTGTCCTCTTGAAATAATGCATGTTTCACACATTATGCAAACTATGCCTCTTCTGTTCATGAATATGTGCTTTGACTATAGTTATTCCCAACTGCATGACCATTCATTTAAATCATTCATGTTCAATAATACTGTACATAAAGCATTCTACTTTTGTTCTTCTTTTCTAACTGCTTCAACAACATATCTCATGATGCATTTCTCCAGCCCCCAAAGAATTGGCATGAACATGTTGCAATTACCTCTGGGCTTTCGTTTCGGGCTGTATCTGGCTATACAGATTTTTCTTCTTGTCTACCATGGACATGACTTGACTTGAAATACACTTACTCACTCTCTTGCCGAGTGTTATATGAGAAAATCAATACCACTGCCACGTGCATAAAGACTGGAAGCAGGAAGAAACAGCTAGCCACAGAAAAGCTCACTAATTAACACGTAACATCTTGTCTTAATTAACATAATAAATGCTGTGGTTGTGTGGGGTTTTAAACAAAAACAAAGAGATATAAAATATTAATTTGTGAGTTTTAGAGGAGCTGGTAGACCTATTTTTTACCTTTGGATAGAACCAGGCCAACTGTTTACACATGCATCTAGTCTTTATGCTAAGCTTAGCTAAGCTAAGTGTCTGCTGGCTTTAGCTTCATCAGATGAGTGTGGTATGGATCCTCATCTTTCATGCAGCATTCTCAGCATTTTGGGTTCTTACTTCCCAAAATGTTGAATTATTCACTTTAACATTCCTCGATTGATAAACTAGCCTATACAAGGCTGATAGCAATATTGATTCATTGAGCCCTTTAGCTAAGCCTCACTGTCGCTTTAAGAAACAAAGGCTGATTATGTTAACAGAACATACAGAATAGCTCTCCACCAATTTTACACATCAAGATCAGTTTACGTCATGCTTCGTGCTACTCGGCCTGTAACAGTTGGATAAAGTCCTGAGTGGCTCTGGAGGAACTTTGGCAGGTCTGAGGAACTAGCCCTGATGATGTCATCAGGAGCCCATGGCTACAAACTGGGGGTGTGGAGTTTGAAGGAGGTGGGCTTTTACCAGTCTGGGAGGGTCTGACAGAAGATGCTATTGTGTTGCACTATGGGAAGTGTAGGATCCAGTGCATTCGCCGTTCCATACTAGGGACTAAAAGTTAGAATAACTCTGAGGATATGTTCTGCCTCGGCTGTTTATATTTTGACTATTCTTTTTTTTCATCTGCCAACCCCCCAACTTTATGGGAGAATAATAATAAATTCTTTTTTTGAACAATTTGTAATGTTCTCTGGTCATGCTGGTATTGCTTAATGAATGACTAACCCTTTCCTTTCCAATTAGAGCTAATGTGAAGTTTCAGCCTTACTAGTTAGTTATTGAAGTAAGAAAAATGTATATCTGGCAAATATCCAGTACTAGTACTTACTTGTAGCCTACAATACTACCTGCCACTGCAGTCAGTGGAGGAATTGTTATCTCTGCCTCCTCCATGATGGATTTTGTCACCAGTATGATTACTGAGTGTCACTGTTAAATGGCTGCTCGAGGGGAAACGTTTCGGAGTGACTGACACCCAAACCTGGTATTTACTGTTAGTGTAGCTAAAACCATCAAACTCCATTTGAGCTCCACTGAAAATATCTTAATGGATGTAATGACACCTACATTTTGCCAGTCATCCAAGGGAGCATGAAACACACCAAACATAAAAATGAACCCAAGATTATTAGATACAATAGCTGTTAAAGTATTTTATGGAGGATTTCTTGTTTAAATCCACTTTCTTGTAAATTAGAATTCACTTGAGATATATTACTAATTACATGCCAGCCTTGATTTAATTCTGTCCAACCAATATATGCTGTACTTTCTGTAATTCCCATTACTAGAGTATAGCTCTCTAAATTATAAAAGCCTATTCACAAAATTTATGTCACACAATTATCCCACCTTTGTCTGGAAGGCATCCAGTGCCTTAGGTATTCCCACATTCACCTCACACCATGTCCAATTAGAGGCAAGAATAGAAAAATTACTGCAAGGTTGCCTCCTGTCACTAGTCGTTTCAGGAAATGCTTCTCACAGGCAGCTTGATGAGGCAAGTGTCACATATCAACTGTAGCCTGGCCAGATGGTTCGGGCTGCGCTGCTGCAAGACAAGGGCATGACCTTTCAGGTGTACCTGGGCTCTTTGTGCCAAGTGAAAACTTACATCTTACATGACTAAATATGAAACCGAAAATATGACTATAAATATATGATGTGCATGTATAATACATCAAGGTTTATACTGAAGTAGAGTTTTAGTCTTATGATTAAAATCTATATTTCAATTAATAATAGCTATTACCCATATTCAATGCCAAATAACATTCAAAAATCTTAAATGGCTTCCCCACGACTGTATTGGCAAGGTAAAAAAGCCTCCTCAATAATACTTAGACCATGACTCACTAAAACTCATGAGTGATTGTTGCAGAACACTGTGTATCCGTTCTGTTTCCTGCTGCCATAGCACAATATGTAACAGTATACAGTGCACACACATTCCTGCATTTATTTGCTGTCTCTCCGAGTTCAAAGCCACCAGAAGAAGGCCAGGCCAAAAGAGCCCCCGCAGACGAAGCTAAGCCGCCCCTGAGGTTATTTCAGAAATGTGCTCGGTGTCTCGAGCTCCGCTGCCCTTGTTCAATCACTTCTACTTAAAGTGGCCCTGGAGCCGTGGCGCTCTCTGAGGCCTGTCTCTGCTCTGTCACCAGTGGTTGCAGTCAGAGAGGCAGCCGGCCAATTTCAGCAGAGTGGTGGAGGAGCTGTTCCAAGTCATCCCTGATGAGGTGCTCTACATGGACACCAGCCCAGAGCGCTGCAGGACCTGTTCCGTGGTGGGGAACTCTGGGAACCTGAAGGGCTCCCAGTATGGCGGCCTCATCGACTCCAGTGATTTCATCATAAGGTCAGTTTGCACTTCAATCTGTGGTGGGATTTATGAGTGTAACACAGCCGCACACTTTTTAAATGTATTCATTTCTGTCATTAACAATAGTCTCTTACTGCCTATTTTTTTTTTTTTTTAAAGGTTTAAAGGATCATTTTAGTTTCTAAACTTTGGTCTTATTTTTGTAGTTTTGGCTACATTTTTATCACTTATGATATTGCAACAAGTAAATGCTATTAAACGTAAATGAGATTTTGGCAATACAGTTATGTTGTTAATACTCCATCATTCAGGGCTTATAATTTGACTTTCTTTAGGTAAAAATTTAATTAAATTAAAAAGTACATATGCAAATAAGGGTATAGTATTTGGCCCCTAAGAATTATATAAAATGATGTTCCATTCAGTGTGGCTAAGGATTTGAAATACTTAAGTATTGAAGTATTTAGACCATCAGTTTTGGAGATTTACATAAAATATAATACAAAAAAGAAAAAAAATTTTGGTAGATAGTCAAAATCTTCTATAGGGGTACAGTTGGGGTTGCGTTTGGGAATTAGACTATTAGATTAGAGTATTTCTAAAATCCTTGCTTTGGTCTCGCCTTAATGTTAAAGGAAAAATGTGCGTGCACACAAGTATGGCAAGGTAGGTCAAATGGAAGTCAGTATGTAAACGCTGATGTGTGTCACTGACATCATTTTACCACTCGCCTTCCAGATAAATGTGGTTAACCTGTGCTATTGCCTCATTCCCAGAATTAACTTTCTGAGTACAATTATATCACCGATAGGAATGATAATATAAGACCCTATTGAAAACAATCTGTACATGCTCGTTAATTTTATTACAACTAATGATTATTTGCATTGTGCTTCTGTTTATTTATTATGTCATTTGATTAATAATTAGTTCAATCAGATGTCAGATGTGGTGAAGAATAATCAGCTTGACATATTCAAGGTGCTTGTTGTATTCAATCAACAAACCCAATAATATTCTCCTTATACAGTGTGCCAACCACATCCCTTTTGTCAGGGAATAATAACAATTTGGCGTGCAGACTGAGTGGGTCTTTGAGTTAAGTAAGTGAAGTTTGGGATATTTCGCATCATGCTTGGATCGTGATGGGAAGAATTATTATTAAAGTGAATTAGTAATGAATCATCCTCATGCATGAATCATATATCAATAATAGCCTAAATTTACACATGATCCATGATGATGAACATACAGAAAAATAGAAATGCATGGGAAAAAATAGCATATTAACAGTGTTTTAGAGACCCCTTGGAATTTCCCCATTGTGGGACAAATAAAGGAATATCTAATCTTATCTAATCTAATCTAATACACATCATGTTTTCAGGGGAGCTCATGTCTTATTAAGAGGAGCCAAGCTCCCCCTGGCTTCCTGTAGTTCTCACCCAAGTTTACATCATAGACAGTTTTTGGCTTAAAGTACTTTTTTAAATTACAATAGACCGTAATTATCCATAACATATGCTTTACCATGTTTTTTTTTCATTGTTGTTTTTTTATTCAGTGGCAGACAAACACAGGTAAAAGCTTTCATTTTGCTTGTTGTGTTTTGTACCTGTCTTTTTCACGTGTATTCCTGCTGCGTCCACGCCTGCACTGCACTCAAGAGGTGTGGTTGGAGATGTCACTCAATTTGAGAAAACTATCTTAACAAAGCAGCAGATGAAAACAAAAAAATTTGAGTATTCAAATGTTTTTCCTTTGCCTTAGGGTGGTAGGAAACAAGAGGGGAGTTTGTCGCTCCCTGTAATCTGTCACAGCAATTGCAGCTCTGCAGAGAATAAATTGGAAAAGATGGAAAACACGACAAGCAGAATTTCTCAGAGGGGGTGTGGGTGTGCTTTCTGCTGCAAAACTGTCGGCTTTATGATAAAATTAAGCTAATTTGGACGTCAAAGGGTAAACAAACATTCTCGCTCAGACTTCAGTTCAGTGTTATATGCAGTATCTCCAGGCTGTACACAGATTTGAGACTTGGCTGTCTTTTTGCAGGTTTTGTGAAGGGCTGCAGAGGCAAAATATGCAAATCCCCAAAGAGTGGAGTGGTATTCCCCTGAACTGTTCTTAGAATATTATATAATAATTTAAAATAATGTTGCACTACACTATCTACTACATGTATACTATAGGAAATAAAAATCCCATCATCACATTGTTTCTGTACAGAAATTACTGACTTAAGGAGACGGTGGGATGATTTTTTTCTATTGCGAGTAACAGCAGATAACACTAATATTTAAGCTAAATGTTCCAAACCAATGACATTGATGGGATATCAGCTCAGAAATGATATGGAAACACAGCCCACAGTGAGTGTGAACAGAGACTGAAAACCACTGTCTTTCAAATATCCACAATGCAATTCACTCAGATCCTTTAAATCCTGCTTTATGGACTATTATGAATATTAAGCGGCATTGGCCTATTGGCTAAAGCTTCTTGTTTACTCAGCAGATTGAAGTGGTAAAATAGATCTGAGTCATAAAAACAGCCTTTGCATCTGCCTTTCTTTGATGGACAGAAATGAGCTCTGTGCCTTATGAATAACTTTTTTTTAAAGATGTGTCGTTTGAAAATCTAATAAGTCATCATATTTATTCAAACCAGAACGGAATTATGTTTTTGTTCTTCTAAGACAAACTAATTGATAGGCCGATGCTTACACTTGCTAAAAGCAAATTTTTTTGGACATCTTATCTGAGGGAAACTTAAAAGTACACACCATACCCATTTCCACTTAGTATTTGATTGCAGATAAAAAAGTACATTTTAGACACAAAGTCGATGCTTTTATCTAGAAAATGTGAAAATACAGCTAAGTTTATGGAGTTGAAGACACGGAGATAGTGGAATCACACTTACTCCTGTAGCTCGGACACATAGTGGAGATAAGGAGGAACAATTTGGACCAAACAACAAGCAAAACTGGCCTGGTAGATGCTTCTCTCACATCATGATCAATTAGGTATAATGGAAAGCGCAACTTAAAGATGAGGGGAGTAACAAAACTATGTCTGTGTGTAAATATAGTGGAAAAAAACAACAAACAAAATAAGCGTGTGACTTGTGTGGACACAGATATAGCACAACAATATTTACATAGGTAAAACACATGCAAAGAATGGATTCTGTCTGTATCTTGTTGTCGTGATGATGTAAATACAGTCAGTGTTAACTTCGTGCCAGTAATGTTAACCAACAGTCTTGGAAAAAGTACTACTGCTTAATGGACTAAATTCAGCTACAACCCAATATGTAACATTTCTGAATTCAAATGTCTAAAAACACTACACCTATGTTGTGTATTTTTGTACCGACATTATGCCAAATATTTGTGTGTTCAGAGGAATCATTTTATGTATAGAAGTCATTTTATTCAGGTAGTGGTGGCCTGTCGATGGTATCATATCCCCTTTGCATATGCAGCAGCGTTGTTGTCTGCCAGAAGCTGTCACAAATAGACTTTTTATCCAGTTTTAGGGCAATTCTTTTTACAATACACCCTTTAGTTCATTTAGTTGGTCATTGTTAACTCTACATTTTAACCGGGACGGGACGGCCTTCATCTGCTGAACAGCATCGGAGAAACATTTTATTCAGTGTTTATACAGGTTTTAATCACTGTGTCCAAGGAGGGGTTTTGGAGGGGAGGAGGCCTCTGCAAATAATTTTGCCCCCGGTAAAAAAAAAACTCCTGAACGAAGAATACTGAAGGAATCCTAGATTCATATATCATTTTAATCAGTTTCCAGATGTTGCCATGACTGGAAGTCCCTAAACGTTCCACGAGGCGTGGGAACCCTGATTATCTTCTGTTCTGTTATTGTAGCACTAAGGCATAGTTTGACTTTTACAGTCAGAATTTAAACACTAAAATAAAATGGTTGAGGGAAAATATAGTGCGCTGCTGTATATAGTAAATAGGGAGTGATTTTGGACCCAGCCTACTACTAAAACGGCATCAAAATGAAGATACAGTACTTTGAGTCTGTGGAATTAAGGTGTGGATGCTTTAGAGGGGGCTGTTAGACAGTCACTAAGCAATCTGATTTTCTGGGTGAAATGAGGACTCATTATAATCTTTGTTAAGATTGATGGCAAATGGGCTTCATGATGATGTGGCTGACACGAAGATCTTATCAAGAGAATAACCACAGCACCGCTTAAGCAAATTTCACGCAGTATTGTTGGATGGCTCTTAATTTATCACAGCGTGGCTTTGTCAACCTGCTGTGACATGTTGCCTCTGTATAAAGCCACATTACTGCACTTATCTTCTTTGCCAGCCCCCGCTGTGACAGCAGCATGGCATTGTCTACCAATTCAATTATCGGATGGCAGGGACAGCACCAAGACAAGAGTTATTACTTTGCTATTAGCAGAATAGTTTGCTGCAGAAGCATGCTATAGAAATATGCTGTTTTATTTACTCCAGGCTAAGCATCACATTTGGAGTCATGCTTGGTTGGAAACCATGGTGCTGAGCCAAAAGGTCACCCTAGCTACACCGGAACACGCACTGTAACACTAAGGTGTGGAATACATATTTCACAAAACTTGGGCAGCATGCTTGAGGGCAGCACATGTCCAGAATATTTTTTATGAAATGTTGGTGTCTCCAAATCCAGACAAAGAAAGATTGATAAATATTAGTATAATCACTCACATCTCTTTTGATCACAGAATATCTGATAATATGCAATCACATACCCTCAGTGTCTCTGTACGCTCTATCGGCCCACCAGCATACTTATTTGAAAAGAAGTAAGCTGTCTTGGATATGCGATTGTCTCATCATTCATATTTACTTTGCTGAATTGAGGCTCAGTCAAGCTTATATTCTACACGATGATGTAAGACCTTGCAAATAACTTCATTAAGATGGATCTTAAGGACAGCAGATGTAATAGGTAGGCACGTCACATTTGTGACTCAAAATCCCTGCTTGAAATTGGCTTTAAAACCAGGATTTTCAC